ACATTGAAAACATGCGTTGCATGCATTAGCTCCCACAAAGCATTTGGCCATGCACTCACCATCCTTTCCCCATCCGCCCGCGTGAATGTTGTATTCCTCATGTTTGTGGTGTGCAGTGCAAATGACAACAATTGATACAAGATTGTGCAAAAGAGGATGGACAATGCATCTCGCAACTTCGTCTTTATCAAAGAGGGAGACGGCAGCCTTGACGCGTATCATCTGCGAATACGGGAAGAGGTATCCCGTAGCCACCACACACGACGTATTCATGAACGAGGTGTTGCAACTCACTTGCAACGATTTCCTTTTACTCACTGTAGAACGTCAGTGGTTAAACGACAATGTCATCAACTTTTACCTCAATCTCATAGCATTGGACAACTGGTGTAGAATACAACACGTAGAATGCGATGCGGAGAATAAGATAGTTATTAGAGAAGGAAAGGGTCGCATTCCTAGAGTTTCGGTGCTGAGCTCATTTTTGTTTGTCAAACTTTTCGACAATGAAATGAGATATAGAGGTCGAGAGGTAGAGCGCTGGTGTCAGGACGTTATCATAAGTGACATGGACTTGATTATTGCTCCTTTCCATATCGAACACAAGAACCACTGGACCCTTGTCGTGGCTGACTTCAAGAGGAGGAAATTCGAATTTTACGACTCCCTCGACCCCGACATGGAGTTGGCGAGAAAGGTGACCGGCGGGTTTGCAAAGTTTATATTCGAAAGATAGAAATCACAAGGCAAAGAGGTGGACACGAAACCATTCAATCACATATGGAATGTAGAGGGCATTCTGAAGCAACATGACACAAACGAGTGCGGGGTCTTTGTGCTAACGTACGCATCACTGTTGGCACGGGGCCAACTTCCACCTTTCTTTTTCACTGCTGATGATATACCCGCGATACGTCGTCGAATGGCTTTGGACACAGTGGCTCGTGAGTAGTGTGTATATGATAATCCGTAATATGATTTGGCGGGGGGGCGGATGCCACAAGATGGTTTGTGACAAAAACAATGTATATAAGGTGCCAAATATTACTCGATATGCTGTGCCACTTGACCCTTGCAATTTACCACATATCCCTTACACCTCACCCCTTACACCTTACCCCGTTCACCTCACACCTTGCCCCTTACACCTTACCCCTTACCCCTTACACCTTACACCTTACCCCGTACCCCATACACCAAACATCTCTTTGTAATGGTTTTTGCACCTAAATCAGCTCAAAAATGACAATTTCAATTTCGTTCAAAAAATATAAAATGTCCGTTTTGACGAAATCGCTGTTCTAGGTGTCTGCTCAGTCAATCCCCTGGTTCCAGGGTAATCAATGCTGGCAGGAATATATCCCAATTTCAGTTTTGTATACGGGACGCTGGACCCGTTTTCCAGCAGGTGCTGCTCCCCACCAATAGATGGAGCCTCCCCCCTGGTGCTAGTGGCGTCTGATCTTATCAGCACCACTAGTACTGGCAGGGGTTTGTTTTTGGGGAGGGGGGGGGAAGTTGCCCCATAGTGCAATTATAACCCCTTTTTTTTGGGGGGCGGGGC